TGTCCCCAATTTAATTCCTGACAATTATAATGACCCCTCATTTGATCATTTTCTTGTCTGAAAGAACCATCACAACCAACATTCGGGAAATCTGCTGGTGGTGGAGACCACTTATCTGGAGGGCTTCCCTTGCCTCTAGAACCGGATGAATCTCATTCGTTACTTTATTTTGTCTTCCAACATTGATGGGATATGTATTTTTACGTACTCTTTTGAGCCTTGGAAATCATATACTTTTTCGGGATAAAGTCACTTGACACTCGAGTTTCAAAATCTTTGATTTCTGAGCTAGTATTTTACATACAATTGCATTTTGTAAAGGTCATTGTTTGCTTTCGACCTAGTTTTTATAGGAAAATAACATGTGGGATTCATTGATTGTATGAATGTAAGCAAAAATGATGGGTGAGGCTTGGGGGTAACATACAGATTACAGAAAGTATCAAACAGGCAGCCAATGAATTTCAATCAAACGAAGGATTAATAAAGAAGAGAGGGATAATAAGGAGAGTGAGAAAGCGTGAGACTGCCATTATCATCACTGTCCTCCACAACAATGATGATTCACACTGTCCGTAGGCTTTCTTTTAGAGGCAAATCGCTGCTCGTGGCCCCCCAGCAAAAATAATATTGCTTTGACTTTGGGAAACCATGTGCTGTTTTAAATTATACCCACCTGGTGTGGTGCCATTTCCTGACTCCTTCCGTGGTTCACAGGTCACATAATGAATGCAGCTCACTGATCAGGATTTTTGGTTTATCATATTCTTTTCTGACCACTTATATCTAATTATGAACATCAGAACATATTCCAAAATGAGGACTAAATCTAGATTAAACACCCTTTTGCCTACCTATCACTATCCGATGATTTAATTAGAGAATCTTAAATGTCTAATACACCTCCTAAAAATATTAGCCCTTGTCTCCTGATATACATTTTTAGAAGAAAATAGATAATTGCACAAATCGCTTGCACATAAAGTTAACTAGTCCAATTAAATTTTATGGTACGAACGGGGTTGGTTGAGTTGGTAAGGTTCAATACTTGTAAAACCTAAGTTCGAATGTTGCTACCAGCAATTTCTTTGATGAATGATCTGTAAATCTAAAATAAATCATTTATCTAAGGTCTGTCTTGACCTAGGGAAGTCTCCCCTCATCATAAACTTTTTTGTACCAAAAAAAATTATGATAAGAAAGAAAATCAATCTTGTTTGCATTATATCTTTAATGTCATGAATGTCCATAGAGTTGGGAATAGTTGGTAGTATATTCCAGCAGCGGGGACTGAACAGTTACATTTAGCAGAGTCGAAAGGTAAATTTCTTACCCAATTATAAGCTCTTGATAGATTGCATTAATGGAAACGTACAGGGACTTGAAGTGATAATGATTCGTATCAGTCGGTTTGTGGCCAGAAAGTGAGTAGAGTGATTTTCGTGCAACAAGAAAAGTAGACTAATGAATGGTATGTTAACTTACCATTAGGCAGATTGATTAAGAGTGGATTTTTTAGGGAAAAGGTGGGAGGTTGAGTGGTCAACTTAGGCTAGGTGCTGTAACTTATTGTGATGTGACTGCCACTTCTGGCCATTGTATGTTGATTCAAGTGCATGCCAACAGAAATCCAAGCAATGGATCAGGTTCCATTTCCATTTTTTGTGAAGGACCTCTACATGAGAGATGGCCTTTGTCCTATTGCAAATGTGACAGAGAAAAAGCTAACCAATATGTAGAGCTGCTGATTTTGTACTGATATTGATGATGCAGGTAAGCATTGAACATGAATAGCAGATACCGAACGGTAAGCTATTCCTGTATCGTTTGACGATCAATTGGAGCACCTATCTACCGAGGGTTGACATAATCAAGTGCCTTTGTAAATCCTCGAAAGACAAATTAACTTGATCTGCCACTACATAGACTATATTCTGATAGGGAATCAGAAAGAGAAATCAACCATTAATTAATATATGTAACAGTAAAACTTCTTGGCCACAAAAAGCTGTAATGTAATAAGAGCAAGCAGGATGGAATAATTATGATTAGCCAGCTGTTTAGTTTCTAATCATAACCTCGGTAGTGCCAGCCATCTGGTACTCAGTAAAGTACTAGGGTATTGATTTGAACATGAAAACAGCATTCTCCTGATATTTGCCCTTGTTAAAGACATTCTTTGACAAAACTAATAATGGATTAGAGGAAATTGTATGTAATTCGAATAAACAGTAAGTCAATAGGGGATCATTCACAAAATTCTTGAGACTTTTAAGGCTTCTGCAATGGCTACAAGATAAAAAAAAAACCATATAGAGCTAATTGATCCATGCAAGGTTGATTGCTACCTAACAATTTCTTTTGGAAGATACATATAAGGTAAATAAAAATTTAAAAAAAAAAACTCATACTTTTGAGGTGACAGAAGTTAGTGCATTTGACTTTGTGGTATTTTGCTAATGGACGTTGCATTTTCATCATTATTCTACAAAGCTTTCGAGTAGTTTGCCATAGGAACAGTGGGCTTGGCTCCCTTCTGAACCAATATAAATCTGCATTTCTATCCTCCATTTTTACAGCACCACCTGCATCATCCAACATGGGTCCTTGTGCTAAAACCATGATTCTCCTTCTCTTTTTAGTCTATATTGATCCGTTTATAGGTGAGCAAAAAATTCAATGCATTCAAGTCAAGTATTTAAGTAAATTTTTAAACAGTTCTAAAGTGGATTAACAAAGTTTTGTTACATTCTGCAGGCAGAGTCAAGGGCTTGGAATATGGTGCAACTTTAGCTAACTCTGCAACTAATGAGGTAACTTAACAGCAATGATGTGAAAATTCCATCTGTCATAAACATCTCTAAAAGACGCATTTACCAAAAAAAAAAAAAACTACTTTTTAAGGTAAATTTCATAACTTTCTATTACTACTACTAATTTGAATATCATACTTTAATAAAACTGATTAGAAATGAGTATAGATAAATGTATCTCTAGCTCACAATCAACAAAGAAAGGAAAAAATGATCTCCAAAGTTCATCTGATGATTCAAGGCGCTTTAATTTGCTAATACATGATGACCGCTTTGAAGGGCATGATTCAAGTGAAGATGAGGAAGCTGATACTAGAGGTTGACACGGTAAGGGACTATTCTCCATTTATTCCAAATCCTAAACATGAACCACCGCCCAGAGGAAAACCTGGAACATCAGCTGGAGGTAGTGGCAGCTGAACCTGAGCTACTATATTTTTGTTCAAAGTTGAAGGCCCTTGAGAATTACTACTACTTTCTTGTATTACTAAAACATTCTCCTTAAGTTATTATACGAGTAATTAAGTGCTTTTAAGCTATGAATAAATGCAAATAATCTGTATCTCATAGGGCATATTTAAGACTAGTCAACTTCCTTGTATACAAAACTATTACAGCAATTAAGAAGCAGAGATCTTTGAATCAGGAGAGAATTAATCCGAACCCCCCCCCCCCCCCTTCTGTCTTTTCTTGGCAACACCTTTATAGTCTTGACCTTCATGTCACTACAATTTTGCCAAATGCAGAAATGGTGATGGTTAGTTACAATAGGAGGAAATTAGAAGTAATTAGAAGAAAAACTTATGTAAGGTTGAGGGAGAGCCTGAGAAAATGCTAATTTTTTAGTGCAGCAAACTGTTGAAACAAAACAAAAGAAACTTCCAATTTCCAATCCAGAAAGAAAACACAAGAGCACCTTTTGTGGTGAAGAGTGCACCAATATTTCAGCATTAATTCTATGGTCCAAAAGAAGATATTTTTCAACGAATTAGGAACATTCATATTTCATACCAAATTGTAGGAATATTATTTTGGATTAAGATGCTGCCCATCCATGCCACTTAGTCACCCATCACTCTCCTTCCTCTCGTTTCCCCCTGCCAATGAAGCCAATAAATTTCTCTAAATTAATTTTAAGATTTGAAATGACATGACTGATACATAAATGGTGGAAAATATCAATGGAGGTCGAGATTTAAGGAAAAAAATGATTAATTTAATAAAAATAATATATTAAATGTAAATTTTTTATAATAATATTTTAATTATTTTTAAACCGTGCCTATAATCACACATAAATTATATCATTAATCTTCATAAACAATGTGACGAATTCAAGAAGTTTTGAACCAGACAATGTTATTCCTTTATATTTATAGTTAATTTTTTTTGTCATATTAGTGTATTTATATAGTTTTATTCCACTAAATTTGTATGTCAAATTATTTACCATTTAATCTACCTATAATTACTAAAATAACTAAGAGTCCCTTTTGTATTCAAATGCACCTCCCGTGAAGGTATGACTATCAAAGGATTTTGCACTAAGCAGGCATTTGGATTCAAACCAACAGTGCAATTCGTGTCGGTTGATCAATGATAATTTTTTATCCAGTGGCCAACTGATGATTGTCTTATTTTTTTTTATCCCTTACTTTATATTATAAATGAAAAATATCTTCATAATTTAATTTTCTTTTTTTTTTAATTTTGATTTTTTATTAAAAATAAGAAATATTTTGTTTATTTAATATAATAAAAAATATTATTTGATGTATTTTATTAAGTTTTAATTATTTATTAATAAATTACTGTTTGACATTAAAATAATTTAATAATTTTTAAATAATTTAATAATTTTATAAATGTTAAAAATTTTAACTTGTTATTATATATAACTTTTAATTTAATATCATTAATGATTATTTTTTTTATTATCGTTCATAATTATTTTTATATTCAAATATGTATCATCATTAATATTAATTTACTATTAAAAATAATTAATCTCATTGCTCATTTAAATAAACTTTAAATTATATTACTAGTTTATAAATTCATAAATATGTATATACATCTTTGGAAAAATTCTCAAAGTCAAATAGTTCTCTGGTTCTTAATTATAAAAATAAAATTATGAAATGAAAAATATTTAATCTATCGTAGTTCTGTTAAAAAAAAAAAAGCTTATTTCATAGTACAACATTTCATGTGAATGGGCAACCTTTGACTCGTGATTCATGCCATGAAAATTAAAAAGGTTCATGGATTCACAAAGCCAGCGTCCCCGTTTCGAAGTTAGTGCTATAAAAAACGACAGTCGACAGGAGGGAGCAGTTTTCAACGTGGCGCACGGTAAGTGGTCATGTCCGAGAGCGTCCGAAACGGCACGGATTCAGCAAATCTTACCGCCATCTACATCTACAAGTTCTACTACTACTTACTGTCGTCCGTCGGTTGGTTCGTTCCCCGTCTATTACACGAAACTTTCCTCAATTTACCATTTTGTCCTCGCACAAAAAACATAATTACGACACTGACCTCAAACCTTCCTCTCAGCTGAGCTTCACAAGGAGGCTGGTGACCTGTTCCAATCTTAAATCTCTCTTTTCGGTTTTTTTAATCTATTTATCTGCTTTATCAAATCAGCTAAGTATCCTTTCCTCATCCAAATCAACTTTTCTTATTCTTCTTTCAATCAATGCCGGGTCTCGCCTCAGTCAAATCTCCACCCGACGCGCCACCGCTACGGATTTCAGTTCCGGAGCCACCGCCGCATAATCCACCGCAGACTCCTAATAAAAAGCCTCCATCTCCTTCCCCTTCCCGATCTAAGCCTTCCCCCGCCCGCTCCGCCAAGAAACCTCCACCCGAGTCACCCAACCTGGATGATTCCTCACTCGACAATCCGGATCTCGGTCCTTTTTTACTTAAATTGGCCCGAGACACTATCGCTTCTGGTGAGGGTCCTAGTAAGGCTTTGGACTATTCAATTCGATCGACCAAATCGTTCGAGAGATGCGCCGTGGAAGGTGAGCCTAGCTTGGATCTGGCGATGAGCTTACACGTGCTGGCGGCGATATATTGCAGCTTGGGGAGGTTAGGTGAGGCGATTCCGGTGCTGGAGCGGGCGATTCGAGTACCCGATGTGGGTCGAGGCCCCGATCACGCGTTGGCTGCTTTTTCGGGGCATATGCAGCTTGGGGACACGTATTCGATGCTGGGTCAAGTGGAGAAATCGATTGGGTGCTATGAAGAAGGGCTAAAGATTCAGATGCAGGCGCTGGGAGAGACCGATGCCAGAGTTGGCGAGACTTGCAGGTTTTTCTTACTCTCTTTCTAAATGATTTATTGATAAGATATAATACCAAGCTTTGAGATTTTCTTGGTGTTTGTGTTAAATCGGGAAAGGCGCAGATTTGTAATATTTGGGGAGAGATAGAAAGATAGGAATTAGGATGGATAGTGACAGAGTGAAAAGGGGCAGCGGTTATTTGGTAATTTTGGTTGACTGCAATTAAATCAGCTCCTTCTTATTGAAATTCGAATCATTAGGGAAAGAAATTTTAGGGTTACTTTCTTGGAATTAGAAATGGCTACCATTTCCATAATTGGCTTACTATCATTCCTTTTGAAGAATTTGTCGACACTTCCTTTAAATGACTGAATTTTACTCCGTAATGCACTTGGTATATGGCCGATTGCTGAAATCTGGAGATCTAAGGGACTGATTTTATTCTGTTTTCGTAAGGAGTGTAACTTTTGACTAGCAATATAATAAACTTAAAGCCATGTAGCTAGCAAGGGGTTGAGAGGTTTGGCTATGTGGTTCTTTCTTGGTTCTTCTTGAATTTTAATACGGTTCATTATCACTATAATTAATGAATGGATTATGGGCTCTAACTTTAAATGGATAGATATTAGTGGAGGTTTAGTTCTAGCTGGGTGGGTTTATTTTTCCCTGCATGGATTCGTGGTGTTGGATTTGTATTATAATAGATTTGTTTTGTTTCCAGGTTTTCCCCATAATGATTTTTTGTGGTTTTGCATAAATTGTAGGAGTTTTTGTTATATCAATAGTATGTTCTTGATTAATGGAAATGACAGGTACTTGGCTGAGGCCCATGTTCAAGCAATGCAATTTGATAAAGCAGAAGAATTGTGCAATAAAACTCTTGAAATTCATCGTGCCCACAGTGAACCAGCATCACTCGAAGAGGCAGCTGACCGCCGGTTGATGGCACTCATATGTGAGGCAAAGGGAGATTATGAAATAGCCCTTGAGCACCTTGTCCTAGCCAGCATGGCAATGATTTCTAGTGGGCAGGAGAATGAAGTAGCTTCTATTGATGTCAGCATTGGCAATATTTACATGTCTTTATGTCGCTTTGATGAGGCTGTCTTCTCCTACCAGAAGGCACTAACAGTATTCAAATCATCGAAGGGTGACAACCACCCCTCAGTTGCCTCTGTCTTTGTACGTCTTGCTGAACTATACCACAGGACAGGAAAGCTCCGAGAATCAAAGTCCTATTGTGAAAATGCTCTGAGGATCTTTGCAAAACCTGTGCCTGGAACGACGGCAGAAGAGATAGCTGGTGGGTTAACAGAAATTTCTGCCATATATGAATCCGTGGATGAGCCTGAGGAGGCATTGAAGCTATTGCAGAAGGCAATGAAGTTGTTGGAAGATAAACCAGGACAGCAAAGCACAATTGCGGGAATTGAAGCAAGGATGGGGGTGATGTGTTACATTCTTGGGAGGTATGAAGAGGCAAGGAACTCTTTTGAGAGTGCAGTAGCAAAGCTTAGAGGAAGCGGGGAGAGGAAGTCAGCCTTCTTTGGGGTTGTGTTGAACCAGATGGGCTTGGCTTGTGTTCAATTGTTCAAGATAGATGAGGCTGCTGAGTTGTTTGAAGAAGCAAGAGCGATACTTGAGCAGGAATGTGGCCCATGTCATCAAGATACTTTGGGAGTGTATAGCAATCTTGCAGCAACTTATGATGCTATGGGAAGGTAACTAATATTTTAAACTACTCTACATCAAATTCTATTCACAACCTAGCTTATGATTGATATACCTGGAGATCATTACCATTACTTACTGGATTGTAGGCCTTTATTGCAGACAAAATGGATAATAAACTTAGAAGGAATGAACTGGATATGAGAGTGAAAGTTTGATATATTAGTTTCCATTTTAGTTCTATCATTATTCTTAAATGCTTGTAGCATCTAAGGAAGACATAAGTAAGCATGGATGAATTTGATATGCATTTATGGTGCAATGCATCTAATTCATCTTAATGTTTTATTTTATTTTTTTTAATTTCTTCTTTACCCGTTTAAATCCAGAATTCAATTACTTATCTTTTGATGGAAAAATCAGGGTTGAAGATGCAATTGAGATATTGGAGTATATACTAAAATTGCGAGAAGAAAAACTTGGAATTGCAAATCCTGATTTTGAAGATGAAAAGAGTAGGCTGGCTGAGCTCCTGAAAGAAGCAGGCAGGTCTCGAAACAGAAAAGCAAAATCACTGGAAAATCTCATCGATCCTAACTCAAGGAGGACGAAGAAAGAGGGGACAAAAAGATGGGGTTTTAGAATTTGAAGTGTTCCAACCAGCGCATCTCTATTCCTTTTTCCAACATATGCACATTCTGTAACATAGAAGATCATGTATAGTGTTTCAAGTTGTAATTTGTTTAACTTTCCTGTTTTTCGAGCTAAGATCTCTTTTTTTTACTATTGTTAATTGTTTTATTGAATGTCTGTGATGTGCTCTTGAATTGGAAAGAAGACTGTTCATTTGAGTGAATAAATCTGATCATGATTTTTTGATTTCTTTTTATTCATAACTCAAGGATGTTTAACTTTGAAGACTTTGGTTAATCAAATCAAATATCCACAATTTTGTAGTATTTACTATTCATTTCTCCTCGAGTATAATTGTTGGTTTGGGATTGAAAATATTTGAAATTTCAGGATTGAAAGTTGGCAGAAAGTTCTTGGACAAGGTGTTCATCAAACAGTGAATTCCTAGGGTAAATCAACCGATTAGCTACATCTAATTCAACAATACCAAACTTAATCGAAACAGCATTTATTTACCAAGTGAGTCTTTTGACCCATCAGAGGCTTCCAAAATTCAAGGTTACAGATCTCAAACGTTTTCACTTTTCGTTCTTACAAGGGAAAACATAGTATCTTCATCTTTAGCTGTTCTTTCACAAGGGGTCAATCAAGTAGGGTTAGAAAAATCTTGAACGAAATTTCTAATCAAGTTCTGGTAATCCTTGACCTTCAAGACGTTAATGGATAAACAACTGATTTACAAGGACCCAAATAGAGTTTAGCTCAGTCGTGAAAATTCCAACTAAACGTTCTTTTTTTCTTTTTCTTAGCAAAGACAAGTAGGGGGATTTTATAGCTTAAAAGTTGGAACCAAAATTTACACTTTCACTCTCCTAGAATTCTAGGACTACAAGAATTACAATCTAATATATCTACAACCTAATCATAACTCTCCAGTGCTCTCACAGGAACTCCCTAGATTGGCCATCGCCTCATTAACAGACAATCTGATGATATTGCAGCCTGATGATCTTGAAACATCTAGACACTCCTGAAGATCGGCATCACAAGCTATCAAAACCAATTCATTATCGTCATCCAAATACTTGATATCAAAAGTACCCACCTCCAGCTTCAGCTTCTTGGCCACTTCCTCTTTCAGTTTCACTATGCCAGAACTTAAGGAGATCCGAAATCTAATTATATCTTCTCTGTAGGTAGCCTTAATGGTCACACTCTTTATTTCCTGCCTAGCTGTTACAAGGGGGATTGTCTGAGCAAAAGTAGCCATGGCTTGCTTGAGGGCTAGATCAGAACATGGAGGTGGCGTCCAACTAGATTCTGGAAATCTCTCATAAACACCGACTTCTGCTGCTGAAGGACATAGGTTTCTCAAGTCTTTTAAACTTCCGGCATCCCCCACTAGCATACCTCCAAATGGCTCTTGAGGTTCTGTTGTCACAAGGGCCTTAGGCATTGAGAATGTGGCTGATGTATTCAGTTCCCCTAAAGGTTGGAAGGCCAATTTAAGAGAGCCGTGTGCTTTAAGGCATTGCTCATGGATGTAACAAGTGGATCCTTAGTAGCAGCACTTTCAATTGCAGGGCTACCTTGGCATGAAGCATGAGAAGTAGGTGTCCAAGCACTCTCGTCTGTTTTGGATCTGTTTGCCCCTTTATCCAAGTTTGATGAAAGCCCATTCTGATGAAGGAAAAGTTCTTCTTGGCTCAATGTCCTCCCTCCCAGCAACTGTTCTTCCATCAAAGCTTGTCCAGTACTTCCTGGCGTCCTACATGTGGGTGAATCAATTGTTTCAACTTGAGGCTCAGATGGTTTGGAGTTTGGTGAGTTTTGTTGACCGGACTCATTCAATCTGGTTGGCCATGAAATGGAACCAACAGCAACTGGGAGTGGACTTGTGGCAAGTGAAGTTAAACCACATGCTCCACCAGCACCTTGTACAGATTCGATAACCTGCTTTCGCTTAGTGAGGGAACGGTTGACTTTGTTGATCTTACGAGATGGCCAACGGGAGATCCCATGCTGCCTGCAGATGCGCTTCATTGTTGTAGGACACACTGTAAAGCAAGAATCTCCCTGAGCATAGTCCATTTCAGTAGGTATTGAAAAATATATCCCAGTTTATATTCATAAAAATCAGCATCTTTTAAGTAATGTAAGTTAAAAGGCAAAGAAAATATTTAAAAAAGAGCATATGCATACCACCAAGGCTTTTTGCAGCGTCTTTAAGACTCCCAGCAAAATACTGTTGGAGCACCTCCAGACTAATTGATTTCTCAGTTTTCCCACGTTTTCTCTTTGATTTTTTTACGTCCTTTTTCAGAGGAAGACAAATAGGATTTTGGCTTCCACTAGCAACATCGATGCATCCATCAGTTGCAGGGTCAAAATTCATAGATAATTGCTGTTCTGATGAATCTAATTGCAGTTATCCTCTGTCTGGCGAGGTGTTAGTCCCAGGTAGTGACTTCACAGATGGAGGAATTGGAATAGATTCAAGTCTTGAATCAAGCCTTTTATCTGAAGAATCTTCAATGATTTCAATAGATCCTTCATCCTCTTCAAGTTTAGCTCCAGAAGCAACCTTAAGAGATTGGAAATGCTGCTTTATTGTTGCCAGTATAGAGCCCAATAAAGTCTGTTGTTCATTGCTATCAGCAATAGTAGGGGGCAAAAAAAATTCAAGAACATAATCATCATCTCCAGTATAAGTACTCTGTAAGCAGATTGCAAAACAGCTGGTTAATCCAAACATGCGTGCATAGTGTACTAGGGGGTACTCGGTTTTGCAGAATTGGGTAATGTCTGCACAAAAGCATGAGTTGCGGGATAAAAATGCCCTCCCAGCAACACCCTGACCCTTTTGTAGGTGATGCTCAAGACAAGCCTATCGGAAACCCCACATGTGAGCATCTACAACATAGAATGCCACATCAGTTGTTGACATGCAGACCTGTCCCATGCAGCTACCATCAAAGCTTGTACAGCGTTTCTGTAGACCACCACCAAAGGCCAAAACTCTTTGATGCCTGCAAGGGACCCAGGTCTGAGCCAAAGGCAGTTTGTGAGTTTCACAGACCACTGTCAAAATCTCCAGAATTTCGGCCAGCGCATTTTGACGACTTTTATTGCAAATCTGATAAAAAAGCATTAGTTTTTCAGAATAGAAAGAAGAAATGAGAAAAACCACAACAATTTTTTTAGGTATCCAAAAAGAATAACAGATTTGACAAAATAACTATTGAAGCTCACCTGGGTGCTTGGATAATCCAATATTTCTGAACTTTTCAGATTCACTGCCTGCATAAGAACTGAAATCACGTGACTGAGGAATCTCACGGCATTTCAAAACTAAAAATATTAGCTAAAAATCAGTGCTTAAGAATGCAAGAAAAAAGGTTCTCCCAAAAGTTTCCAAGGAATGGCTGATGATTTAGCACTTATCAAATAAGAAAAGAATATGAGGCTAGGATGTGTGGAAAGGGAAAGAAACCCAACCTCAAGTGCTTTGCATACTTTATCAACCTCAGGTGCATAGTTAATCTTCTGTGAAGTCATTATGAGTTCAAGTACACCAACACAGGACTGTCTAGAAGTTTCAAAGACTGGCAATGCCAAGGTTCCCTGAACATTGTAATGCAGAGCATGATCAAGCCGTGAATACTCTCTGCTGGAATAATACTGTACATTTGGAGTCCATTCTGGCAATTTTTGTCGGAAAACACGGCCAGGAAGCCCTGGCTGTCCATCACTCTCTCCATCCACAGAAAACATGTACATCAAAGAAATCATCCTATACTGATGTAGACCATTGCTATGCGGATCAAGGACAAAGGGTTGCCCGGAAGTTGTTAGCACATAGCGACCTCCACTCTTTACAGGTGCCCAAACCTGTGCTAGAACATGTTGCTCAGTTGATTCTTTGAAGAAGCGTAGTGCCTGAGTCATCCTCTCTTTAATTACACAATAACTATCCGGATTCTCAAGAGGCAGCAATCCTAAAAATGGAGAAGACAGCCCTCTATTATCATTGTCCTCCTTTGGATTTTCATTTACTGGATTAGAAGTACCTGCATTTAGAATAATTTAAAATACAGATCAAGTCAGTTAAGCAACAAATGCTCCATCCAATTAAATATGTACAATTTATAGTATGATGATGTAGACTAAGAACAAAAAATTATACAAATTCATGTGCTGGACTATCGAACTTGAATACATGGTGTATCCAAAAGACAACCAAAAAGGAAAAAAGCAAACATACTAAAGTAACTAAAGCATAAGGCTCTGTTTGGTTTGAGAAAATGTTTTTTATTTTTATTTTTTATTTTTGTTTTTTAAAAAAATATATTTGATAACCAGAAATAAAATTTGTTTTCTAAAATTATAAAAATAAGAAAATAAATAAATATCAATGATATTACCAGCAATGGCATCTAACTATAAATATAATATTTATTAATTAATGATATTAAAAAAAATTCAAATATGATAACTTGTAAACCAAAATAATAATAATAATAATAATAATAATAATAATAATAATAATAATAATATATACATCCCCTAATTTCATAATTGAAAAAATCCATTTTTTTTTATATTTCAACTCATTTTTATTTTTATTTTTTCAAATTTTTTTTCATTTTAATTACAAAATACACTTTACTCTTATTTTCTATTTTCCAAAAAAATGAAAATAAAAAATGACTCTGTTATCTTAAACCAAACACTATCTAAGTTTTCAATTATTGTTTCGATTTCCTAGTTAAGACACCAAAGAAAATTGGAACTTGATTATATAAGCTTTATATTTCCATTGAACAATCCTTTTACTCTGCAGGTCTTGAGAAACCAAATGGAGCTTTAAAAACCCAGAGACCAGAAGTGATGTCGGAGGGATCAGCTACATCTTAACAGAAGAAAATATCCAAATTTTCAGGGTTACCAAATTTCAAGAAAACAAAAAAGGATCAAATTCAACCAAGACAGACCAAACCAAATTCAAGTTCTAAATCAACCAACTAAAACATAAAAAACCCAAAAAGGAAAATGCTAATCCAAATCAGAAAATCAAGACAAACAAGCAACCCATATGATATGATAAAAGGATATGGAAAAAAAACAACAAAAAGGAAGAAAATGTTGCAAATTTATCAAGTTAAAAAAAGGACTAACACGTGACAAAAAGATTGTAACCGGCGTGAGACACATGCTTTTCTTCATCAGAGAAAGCCCAGAGAGGAGAACAAGGCTGCTCAGAAGAAGATACGATGAAAGGAGAGGTGGGGTTACTATTAGAAAGGAAAGTCAGCTGATCCAACGGCCAGGAACTCTCCAGATAGAGATCATCCAAATCCATAATCCCTTGGTGTTGTTGGGGCTGTTGTTGTTGTTTTGGCGGGAAAGGACACGCGTTGTCTTCCTCTGGCTCGCACATTTTCGGGAAAGAGCGGAAATGAAATTTGTTCCTCAAAATTTTCTTATTTCTTATGGAGGAGGAAAGTTGCTTTCCTCTATGTGCTGTTTGGTGGGGAGAAAAAGACGAGAAGGGAAAAAAAAAACCATAATACAATAGTGAGATGGTAATGGTAAATTTTGCAGAGTGTGATTCCATTTTTCTTCTTTTTTTTTTTTTTTTTTAATTGATGGAATCCAATCCAACAGTTGGGTTGTGCGGTAAGTCTGCCACAATTTGGATAAAAATTTTGGGAGGGGATGATTCTGTGGTGCTCTCTTCCTTTATCATTAAGGGTGTAAATGAGTCGAACCGAATCGAATAGTGAGATACTTGAACTCGAGCTCGACTCACAATTCGGGATTCGATATTCGGTTCGAGCTCGATCGAGTTTTATTTTTTAAGTTCGAGTTCGATTCGTGATCGAATTCGAACTACTCGAGCTCGTTTGATTAAGCTCGATTAATATGTAAAAATAAGCTCGATTTGTATATTCGACAATAGTTTGATTATTCATACTCGAATTCGAACTCGAACTCGAATTCGAAATATTTTATTAATTAAAATAATAAAAATATATTTAAATATAAAAATTCGATTAGGCTCGCGAGCTACTCGAGTCAGATATAAGAATACTCGAATTCGACTCGATTGATAAGTCGAGTTACTCGAGCTCGAGCTCGACTCGATAATAATCGAACCGAATTCGAATTTTTTTCAAATCGAATCCGAATAACTTGCGAGTACTAATGTATCATTTACACTTTTAATTATCACCACCCAACATCCCTCTTTTTATCTTCTTTTATTTTTTTTTCTTTTTAAATTTTTTAATGACTATAATATTTACTTTAAAAAATATGTATATTTATGATTGCATAAAAAATTAATTCAAGTCAATTTACATGATTAAATGTAGCTGATGTACTTATGTTCATCTTAACCATTTATTAAAAGGGTTTAAATCTTTAAATAAATCAAAATGTAAATCCATAAATTGAAATCTTTTTATATAAATAATCTAGCATTCAATTTCTAATAATATAATTTATATTTTAAAAAGTAAAATAACGGACAAAAATATTTGATTTAGTAATTAATATATGTATATCTTGTTTAAAAAAAATTAGACTATCAAATTCATAAAAAAATTGATTTAAATCTACGATCAATTTAGTTGTCCTCAGCGCTTAATCCTTGTTTAATTAAGATTGTGATTGATGCACCACCAGTCCGCCAGGCCTCCAAATGACAAAGTTATCCCTGACAACATTTCTTTTCTATCCTTATGAAGAAAATTGGGAAATTTGCTGGTCAAAGTGGTGGCATAACGGAGAAAAGGGTGCCTTAATCATACCCATTTAATTAATTTTCAAGAGAAAAATATCCCATAGTAAATTGATTTAAAAAGCTTATATTAGTGTTGTTTATTTGGATGGGATCAATGAAAATGATTTTAAATGGATACGATGGAGCCATCACCAGACATCAGACATTAATCTTATCGATCTTAACTTTGGAAGTTTAACCAATAATAATAATAATAATAATAATAAGATTTACAACTACTGAGTGTGGGCTAATAATATTCACCCTCCCACTTTTAAAGCCATTGTCTCCTATTTGCTGCTGTTTGTATCAATGTTGGACATTGTCCTTGTCGAGGATACACTTGCTTCCAATAGAAATTTGTTGCACAATTTGCAATTTGGGTTTTTTTAATTTGATTTAACTTTGTTATTACATTTTATCAACCTGATTTTGTTTGTGCTTTATTAGATTTTCAAGATTCTTGATAGGAAGGAATACTGAATACATGATCTACCTGCACAGAAAATCTGGTGATGGCGGACAGATGATCGCTCACAATCTTTCATTTCAAGTTGAACAAAATCCCAAACTCCAAAAGCCACATTTCCGTACAAACCCCGACACATATTCCATGATTCTGGATCAAACTTCTCCTTACTTATTCTCTTCAGCCGCCAGGGAAAACAAAACAGGATGTGAAAGGAAATTGAATAGAAAGTGCTCCAATTTGTCAGCGTCCACAAACTTTTGATTCTGATGCTGGGGGGAATACTGGACTCTAGATGGATCCTCCTTTACTCGACTCCAACTTTCTCAAGAACATTTTGGTCACCGATATCCCACTTTCAATTTTCATTGATGCTCTCATGATCTCATCTCAAAAAGATTAGTCGGCGTTAAAGAAAATAAATAAATAAATATAGGAAGAGAAGATCCAGTGACATACCTTTACTTATGCTTTGTAACTTTTACGATTAGTGTTTGATTACGTCAAAGAAAAACATAATAAAATGAAGAAAACTTTCTAGTAATGCAAATCTAAGTCAACCAATATTAATAAAATCACAGTTCATCATTCTTGCTGGTCGGGGTTGGATCGAAAGAATCAAGTTGTCAAGAATTATATATATTTTGTCTCAAAATTTAAACAATTGAATTTAGAAATGTGACATGAAATATTTGCATCACAGATTTTCCAAGAGCTTGATATATGCTTGAGGTAAATAGGTCAATTTTCATATCCACACCCATGTCTACAAGATTAGTGAACAGGAACAGGTTTAAGCGGAAATGGATTATGGATGGCTTTGGACTTTCAGGATTGGTTCTAACTTCCAACCGTGCCTGTAGCAATCAAATTCATTGTCGTTGCCTAACTGGAAGCAACCCTTCTGATGCATATCCCAATTCCCAGGTGGTCCGAATTTCATCTGTTAATATATCCAGGACTTTTTGAGAAAGGACCATCATTTTTATTGTAGCTTAAATTCCTATTGGGTGGCTCAACTGTCATCGATTACCATCCCCTGACTTCACCCCATTGAGTGCAATCCCCATGTCTCGTTCATATGTTGATTTAAGGCAGTGGATGGAAAGTACCTACTTAAAAAGTTAAAAAGTAGAGAAATTAATTAACAGAGCAGAATGGCAGACAGACAAAACTTATGGGCAGGGCAGATATCTGATGTTGGATTTGGCTGCCATTGCTGCAAAGTCAAACCCCCTTTTAGATTTGAGCTTTAGAGATACTATATTTCCGTTTGACTGTATGAATCAAATTATATCCAATCCAGGGCAAAAAGAAATGCCTTGCATGTAATGAAATGTCAATCTCTTTAAATAGACAATGAATTTAAGGACGTGAAATCAACATTATATTTCTTTTCCGTTGCATGTAATGTAAATCTCTGATAAAGAATTAGTATATTATCGGAATTGTTGAATTTAATCTTTGCCCCTCAATTCTAATCCATGAATTTGTACAATGTGACATCCCTTTTGGACTTGCGCAAGCTGAGCATAGCCTTGAATAGACGTTTGCTTTTGCTAGAATATTGTTCCATATCTTTAGACCTCTCTCTTTCAGCCAGGGTGGACAATGAAACTGTTCTCCGAGGCTCCGACGGGTACTGTTCAAATCAAAGAAAATTGTCATAAAATTAACGCTCAATTGCGCCAAACATCGCAAAGGTAAAAATATTTTATGAAAAATCTAGTATCATCAACTTTGAATGTTGATATGAGAAATTGAATTTGAAATGTGCAGCATAGGCTAGTGATAAGTTTTTGGTCAGTACCCGCTTTGTAGTATTAGGATTGCTTGGAAAGGTTGATCTCTGCATAAGAGATCCTGAGCGTGGGAGTGGAAAGTGTCGAGGAGAGGTTGATCGATTCTCTTATTTCAAAATTAGCATAAAATCAGCAGATTGCTTTCCAACAGTTAAGTGCAACAATTCAGACAGTGTTGAAGCCAATGTACGAACCTACCTGATCTTTGGTTCATTGAAATACTCGAGAACAAATGGGGGCCTTGTCTTGGTAAAGGTTGTGGAGAGCGTAAGACAAAGAATTCATCCCTACATAAGAATTCAGAAATCGTAATGGTAATGCTTGGATTTGGAATATAGAAATTTATCATTAGAACGAACAAAATACTATAATAGTTCAAGATTACCCGACACACTCGGAAGGGGTCTCTGCTGCTATTGCTTGAATACCTGTGGGCGAGGGTGTGAAAGTATGACATCAAAAACATTATCATATTTCTTCGGCAAGTAAGTTTCACTCTGAACATGAAGGTGAATAATACCAATATTCTTAAGCTGATGCAAGTCTAATCTAGCACACATGCTAGTGGGGTAGGATTTCAGTCTGGTCTGGGCAACATCATTCAGGGTCTCCTCCACTGCAAGAGAAACTATGATTGATCAGATGAATTGCAAACCCAATTTTCTAACTATGCTCCAGATTTATTCTTCTTGCAAGCAAATTCAGAAGAATTACTTGCCTGGAAAGATGTACCGCTTATGGTGCTTGGGTGCTTCTAACACCAATGACTGCTGAGAGAGACCCCCTAAGTTAACAAACTCTTGGCATGTTCGCAATCTCTAATACCCCATCCGCCAAAAAGAACAATGTTAAACAGAAAATCAAACGAGTTCAAAAGATTTAAGTTCCTATAGTAGTCATTATTATGTAACTTTAAGCTTAAGGTGATCAGATTGTTAAAGAGTAATGTTACCAAGCAATTGCCTATACAAAGGGAGAGCCCTGAAAAGGTACCTGCTGCAGGCAAGATAAACGAAGTTCCATTCCAGAACTTTCGCCCATCTTTTCATCCAAAAAATTGTTAACCTTGCATGCTACGGAACCCAAGTGGTCCACAGTATTGACCAAAGCTTTAATGGCATAATCTTTCAAAGTATCCTCCACTCTGCTCATGTCAAACAGAAATCAAGAAAGGAAAAGACTTCAATCTCTTGTTTCTCATCATCATAACTTTAATTGTATGACTTACATTTGTTTCTGTTCTTCTTTGCTATAGGCTATTTCAAAATATTCTGCTGCAGAATACAACTGTTTCCTCAGACCCTTCAAATCCTGAAGTATACATGTGGTGAAAGAGTTATACGGGAGCGTATTCATCTTTATTGATAGCATGATTGTAATGTCTATGTCTAAACATAATTTTTTTGTAGCCCTTAAAGATGTTTCTTAGTAAATGAGAGAACCATAACTGGCAATAAAACTGAACAGCGTCAAGATGGTTGGAGTAATTCACCTTAAGAGTATCTGTAAAAAGCAAGCTCTGCTGCATAAAGAACTCATCACGGTGGGAAGATTCTTGAGGAACAGAAACTGAAGCGGCTGAAGTCATAATTTCCCTTGATACAGAAACCTGGATTTTCTCGGGTGTCTAAGTCATCAAACCAAAAGGAAATTCAAAAACTGTACACATGTATTCATTAATCCATAAAAATCATCCAAATTTCAGACGGACTTATAAAGCTACATAAAATGGCACAATTAAATGGCAAGACAAGTATAAGCGCTGAGGGTCTGCGACAAATAGGATTCACCTTGCTTTTTTGTTCTCAATATGGCACTGCAAACTCAAAAGCCTCCTTTTCAAGCTCGCTTCTCCATACAAATGTCCAAGATTTTTATAAACAGTGACAGATTTTCCCGACTTTCTACTAAAAACAAGAAGCAGATAGCAAAAGACGATGGTGAAATTACTTGAGGCTGTGGTCCAAAAGATATGTAGGTGTAGTATTTTGTTTTGCAAGTGTTTCGGATAAAAATAAATAATTATTGGAAGGAGACAAAGATGAATAAGAGCGGGATAACAAGGCTGGGAAATCTCGAACGTTAATGTTTGCAGTCTTATATAAGCTTAGACTACTCTTCTGAAAGCAACATACCAACAATCTGTAACTTTTTTAGCTGTTGCAAAGATGACATGACTCCCCTAAGGTTGAGGACCAGGCTTTGATTTATTATTATTGTTTTTTTAAAAATAGCCAAATGTCGGCCATGTGGTGGTTTGACAACTTTCCAATTTGGTACCCACTGTATGAAAAGGAAAAAGAGATTGGAAAACATGTCCTGAATCCATCCCTGTAATGGGGATGAATTTGAGAAAGAGAAAATTAATTAACCACCTTTATTGAATGAATTTAATTGGCTAGTTGGAGTTGGTATATTGCACGCAAACGCCTATGAATAGATTTAATGTGAGTAACCTCATTTCAGAAGTAACCCTTAGTTTGGTGTATAAAATCTCAACAATGAACAATGATGATTTCCAACAGACTCACCTGTGAGATTTAATTCCAATGGTCATCATTGACTCAGCTCAAGTTTTATTAGTACTACTACTACTACAACCATTTCTTACCTATTTATTTTTGATGGTGCTTTTCTGTCCCTCTTTGGTTCTTTCTAGTTGTGCAATAAATTTGGAGTTTGGGGCTTCATTTTCCTGTGAATTATCATCCCACCACCCGCCATAATAGACAATGACAGGTTGATAATTAATAATTTAAGCTTGTTAAGACCTTGGGGGAGTGTTTCATTTATGCAAAATTTTTCAAAAATGTGAAAGTTAGGATATATTCTTGATCTCTGATGCAAACCTCTCATGAACAGATGATTCTATTGGCAATAAATTCCCCCCCCCCCCCAAACGGAGGGTAGGGTATCTTATGACTTTAATGTTTTTAAGCTCGATTTGAATTTTATAATAATTGAACTCATCGCATTATTAATTAAATTTAAATATTAATAAAATTTATTTAATATAAAATTTTTATTAAATTTTTTAAATAATAACTATAATAATAATACTGTTTATAATCTCATAAAATTAATTTTACCTTCACCGCAACGAAATTTTAATTACAGAAAAATTGTAAAGCGGTGTGAACACATAACATAAGGGGGTAAACCAAAATTGCCTTGACCTATTAAAAACGAAGGGAGCCAGGCCATGGTGGTTGGAAATTCATTTTCGGATGGTTGGATATTATTATACTCAATCTATCCATATATAATATTCGTTATTGATAGGCTCCGTTTGCTTTAAAATAAAAATTGTTTTGTAAAATGTAAAAATAAATAAGTAAATAAAATATTTAATAATATTATTATCAACGTCATTTAATTATAAATATAATATATATTTATTAATTAAAAATATTAAAAAATATTTAAATATGATAACTTAGGAAACATAAAAAAATAATGTATATATTTTATTTTCATAATTAAAAATATAAATTTTTTTGTTTTTACATTTCAATTTATTTTCATTTATGTTTTTTAAAAATTTGTTTTTATTTTCAATTATCACGTTTTCAATTATTTTTTTATTTTCTTAAAAAATAAAATAAAAAATAATTTTATTTTTCGAAACCAAACATTACTTAATTTTTTTCATTTCTTTCTTTTCCTAAAGCATCCTGCATCCATTATATCAGTATTATTTTTTTTTATAAGGCATTCATTATTGAACGAGGTTGAATATTCGATATAGGTACTTTAATTTGTAGACCGTAACGAACAGTCATATTAAATTGTTACTTTTAATAATTATAATTAAAATTCTGACGATTTTAAATATTAAAAAAAATTGTAGTGTTGATTAAAAATTAAGGAGAAATGTTTAAGGTGCCCCTAAACTGCACTTTATTTTTTTCTCCATTCCCTTTAATAAACCAAAGCAATGGGTAAGAAAAAAGGAAATAGCCCAATAGGACCAAGCCCAACCAAACATAAAGGCGTAGAAGCCACCACCGCCTCCGGATGCGCCTACCCTCCATATCCTTTTCGTTTTCCTGTTCTTCTTTAACTTATCAATAAGCCTCAGCTGAGCTCACATCAGAAAAGAGCGAAATGGCATCTCTAACCAAATCCCTGTTTTGCACCCACCATCTCGCCCAATTCCCACCTGTGCCTCTTCTCTCATTCACTCAGAGCCTCAAACCAATCCAGTTAAAGCCAAGGTCTCTGACTTCCCTTAAAAGAAACAACCACACAACCTTAGCGGTGAAAGCCCAGACCTTCGACTTCTCTGGTTCATTCTTTGAGTCGGATGAGTTTGGTTCGGACGATGACCCTCCGTCCCAACCCGGGCCTGGCATAACCGCCTTGGAAGATAAAGAGGAACCCCAGTGCCCACCGGGACTCCGACAGTACGAGACAATGGCAGTTTTAAGACCCGACATGTCGGAAGACGACAGGCTCGCTCTTACCCAGAAGTACGAGGAGGTAATGTTTTGTAAAATAACTCTCTTTTTTTTTTATTTTCTTTTGTTGTAATTTGTAAATTCTCAGTTTGGTTGCCAACGTAATTTAGGATTTTTTTTTTTTTCATTTCGGGATTGAGAATTGTATGGAATTTGGTACATTTTTGCAAAGTTTTTGCTTTTAATTTCATTTTATCTATTGAAGATTGGTTTTGAAAACATGGCATTTAATAAAATAGTCTGAACTCTTGGGTGAATTGGAAAGGGTTGATGACATGTTATTGCAAGTTTATTCAAATCCTTTTCCTGATTGGGTTCGTCTTGCAGCTTCTTGTCGCTGGGGGTGGCATGTATATTGAGGTATTTAACAGAGGGGTCATCCCACTGGCCTACAGCATCAAGAAGAAAAATAAAGATGGGGAAACCAACACTTACTCGGATGGCATTTACCTCCTCTTTACCTACTTTACGAAACCGGAATCAATGGCAGCTCTTGAGGTGGCGCTGAATACAGATGATGATGTTATTCGATTCTCCAGCTTCAAGATCAGGAAGAGGAAGTATTAGTTTAGTATGTATGTTTTCTGTATCTTTGAGATGAAGATGATTAGGAAAGGAAGAGCCCCATCAACTTTGTGATTTAATATGGATCTTTTTCGTTCCTTAAATATTGCAGTTTGCTTTCTTTTTGTAAAATTTTATGGATCAATGACAATAGAAGGTACATATGCAATTGCTGAACCAAGGAAAAACGTTTAGAGGGAATTTTATAACTGATTGGAGGGCATATCGAGCGAGCTTGATCAATCTTATTTGCACATTTTGATAGATTGGCTGCTGGAGGTGCTCGAAGGCATGCGTTATTCCCATCCAAACTTGCACGTGGCAATGTGCAAGAGTGTATATATATAATCATGGGGTGACGAGGATGACTGAGCTTGTAGCTCTATTTGCGATTAGAAGAGAGCTTGAAGAAAGTTATAGCGAGGTGGAATTTGTGCGTATAAGATATTTTCAGCATATTGACAGAGAAAAGTAGTTCCTTTATGGTTGTTATTTACAGTCAATGTGCGTCAATGAACCATGCATTGTGTTTCGCCGCCCCTGCTCATACCGTTTGAAGTGCCAATTCCCCAGAAAATATATAAGCCATTTCTGTAGCTGCCTGCTGCCCAATAATTGCCATATAAAACTAAAAATTTCATTTCAGTCAGAGAAAATATTGAAAGGAGAAGCAAAAAGGCAAAGGCCCCTAAGTATTTTCATCACTTGAAAATAAAAGAAGTTGCAGTATAAAGAGCCCCCGCCAGAAGTGTCGCAATGATGGTAATCTTGGTAGGCATTTTTCCTTTGTCCTTCCTCAGGGCAATTGCTTCATAAATTGGGAAGAAATTCACAACAATGCACCCTGCTAGTAACATCTGCAAAAGCAGGCCTTCCTCGTTGCTGCCACCGAAAACTAAAATTGTTCCCCAGATGAATGAAAATAAGTTGATTATTGCTGCCATTGTGAGTGGCACAAACAATGGGGATGGGACTCCAAACTCAAAGATCCCTTGGGAATATCTTTTGTTTTGTTCATCATCGACCACTTTGTTGGTCACATTGAAACCACAAGTAGACAGGCCTATGGACTTAAGAAAGTACTCTGCTGTACCAAACGAGAAACTCGAAAGGCTCGCGATCATCCACATCCTCTGGGCGTTCCACCACTTTCGGAAAGTTGCTCCCTCCAGAACATATTCAAGGAAGTCTTGTCCATAAGCACCGAGGACAAGAAACAAGTACAAGAGAAACCATGGTTCGGTTACCTGCAACATTTTTTTCTTTACCATAAGTGGAAGCATTGAATAATATTCAACTTTCGAAAATTTTGAATCAATAGCATTCATGTTATAATCCATTTAACATGAGGGAGAGAGAGAGAGAGAGAGAGAGCAACTACAGCTACAATGAATGCCGATACATACCTCTGGAAAGACGGAGACTCCACTGACGAGAACTAGTTGAGGGAGGAAGGCATAGACGGTCACTGGAATGGACAAAATGGGCCAGAGTGCATAGTAAGAATAGCCTAGGCCCATGAGGAGACCCATAGATTTGGTCCCAAAGGTTATGGGAGGATATTTGGACGAGGCAATTTCAAGTAGGCCGATGGCCCCTCGCTTGCCTTGACTCAGTACATCAACGAAGTTGATTGGTGCATTCCCTAGAAATGCAGCCCTTTTAGGATTGCAAAATATGGACCTCCATCCGTCACATTGCAACCGGTAACCTGTGTAGATGTCCTCAGCCAATGATCCATATCTAAACCCCATCCGCAAGTTTTTTTTTTTTTTTTTCCATCACTAAGATCAATGTTTGGGTGGAGGAAAGAGCTTAGGGTGCTGCTGAATTTTCAAATAGCGAAAATGGTTAGCTTACCTTGTATCCCCATTTGTTCTGATTTTCATAATTGCAGCTTGCTACATGATGTGCTAAAGCTAAAATGTCCGGAGATTTAATAGGTTTGTTCATAATACGGTCAGGGCTGAGTTCAAGGATTTCTGATTTTACAGAAGTTGATGGATCACCAAAGAGAGCTTGCCGAAGGAAAAAGGTTCCAGTTCCACAATAACATGGGCCCCTAAGACCATCAAAACCCATAGGATGTATCTCGCCTAGACGTTTGTACTCGCATCCATAGGTGTCATCTCTGTTTATGCCACGAAAGCGCTGAGGAAATTGCACAAACCCCAAAGTTCGTTCGATTGCAGGGTCACATATATAACATAGCATCCTCAGAGGTGTTTGGGGGTCATTTGAATGCATGTCACAGTCTTGGGTTAAGAATATTGGGGCATTGGTCATGATAGTTGATACACGAAGCTGCAATATCCAAAAACAAGGAAAATGTTAGGATAAAAAATGTACAAGAATGAGATAATTGTTGATTGGAAATATTGTAAGATGATCAGTATACCATACCAGAACATTTAGAGCACCAGCTTTAAAATGGTGGGGTGAGGTCTTACTTTTCTGTCTGGAGACATAAATGAGATTTGGCAGGCAGTGGCCAGTGATGTCTTTGTCGGTGCTGTTATCTAATAGAACCTGCTCATATAAGTGTACAAGAAAGGGGAAATTAACAAGCTCTTACAAGATTTTGAGTTACGAAAATATGGAAGATTAAAGGCTGAATGCAAACCTGAATGACAGTAGGGTGATCTTGGGGGGTAAATGCGCCTCTCCATTTGTCAAAAGCTTCACGTTCTTGATCCTTGGTGATGTAAATTTCACTAACTTCTCCTCTGTTGACAACATTTCCTACTCTCACTTTCATGCTCTCGTATATTTCCTGGCACATGATTAAGATTTAAGATCCAAATGTTATTTCTACTATCTTATAAACGAATATCTCATGAAATTTTAAAATTGAAACTTTTTTTTTAAATAAGAAAGAACTTCAATGAACAAAATTTTATTTAACAAGTTTAAAAATTTGAACCATTTAGGAATCAATATATGAATTATTTGACTTGCATGTTGTACATTTTAAATTTTTGGAAAATTAAAAATTTTACTAAGAGTTAGCAGCTTAAAAATTGATTTTATCATGACCATGAAGCCATACGTTGATAATACAACAAAACATGATGAGAAATTTGGTGCATATGCATGTCCTAAAATAGGATAATATGAAAATAATTTAGGGATAGATGTGTTCATGGATCAGGTTAGGTTCATGTTTGGAATTAATAATTTATATGTTTATTTAGGTCTAATCTGCTATGATATTTTGGGCTTAAAATTTTTTCAAAGTTCAATGTATGTTATAAAAATAAAATACAAACTCACCCATTAAACCTAATATATAATAAAAAATAAAATATTAAAATAAAAATTTACATAATTATAATTATAATAATTTAATTATATTTATATTATTTGAGCTAAGTTAAGCTAAGTTTGAACTTTAATTTTTGTATTCAAAGCCTGACTCAAGCTTAAAAATTTTGTCTAAATTCATTTAATAGATCTTAATTCTGTGTCAAAATATTTTTAAAATTAACTTGACAAGCCTTTGGACTCAAGCGGATAGCTCGACCCTTGAGTGGTTAGCTTGATCTTTGAGTAAGTTTAATAATTAATTTTATTTTTATTATATCTTATTCAAAACTTAATTAATTTATATAATCATTTTTAGCAAGTTGAGTTCAATCATCAATATTTACTGCTTTTATTTCTATTTTCAGGTTAGACCTCTTCTATATATACAAAAAATTATTGAAAAATTATATATATATATATATATATATATACACACAGCAAACACGACTTAACATCAATATCTAATTTGACCATTCGTTCATGTAATTTGACTTTAGACGAAAAAAAAAAAAAAGAGAAGATATCAATAAGACAAGAAGTGATAATTAATTTCATGTTTTTGGGAAATTTAAAAGGGATCCCATTCCATGGAACATGGGACAAAAATAAAGATACGAAGGATATGCCTTTTTCCTTTTTTTTTTTATATCATGAAGGATTTGCTATCATTGTTTAGATATTGTATATACCACAACAACAGCCAAGCTGAGATCAATGATGACATAACTTTTCGTGTCGCCTTATAAACTTCCGACAAGAAATCTTCTCCTTGTTGCTGCAGTAGTCTTGCCCTTATCTCTAGTGAATTTATTTTTCCGGTAATGAAGTTTTTTTATAGTCATGTTGTTTGAAATTTTGATCGTTGAAATTAATTATACATGTAAAGTTTGGAGTTAATTGCAATTAAAAATGTTAATTGACTATCATTCTTTTAGAATTTAACTTTAAAAGTGGACTTACCTTAATCTTGTGAGCCTTAGAGCTCCAAGAATGAGCTGACGAAAAATAAATATCCGGGCTTCTATCCATAAGGTTATTCTCCCTGCAAAATGGTAACCAGTAGCTAGCAAACTTAGCAGCCTCCATGAAAGCAAAGAGTGTCAAAGCTGATCCTCCATCGTCCGATACATACACCGAAATCTTCTCCGTTGGATAATCATAAGCCATCAAGGACAAAGCCGTGTTCACCACACTCATTGGCGGCTCCTTGTAAGGGTCAGCCGTGCATATGAACACGTCCAACGCTGGAAAATCTTGCTCCGTCACGTTCTTTTTCAGGTTCTCTGGGAATTGCTTACGATGAATTGGGTACATGCGAAAAGCTTGTGAAGCTCCCCACATGAAGGCAAGAATGAGATCAGAGACAAGCAAAGAGAGGGTTATAAAGAAAGAGACTAAGGTTGTGGAATTGATAAGTGTTTGTGCATGGCGGTAGAGTAGAGCTAGGATGGCGCAAGTGTAAACTACCAAAAAGACGCGGTTCACGGCCGTGCGTGGGAGGCGTTCCACGGTGTGAAGAGGAGTATCGATGGGTGCCAGGGGGGTGATGTAGTGCTCTCTCCGACTTAGAACCTCCATTTCTTGTGTGGGTAGTGATGATGGCAATGGGCAGTCGAAGGCTGAATTTCTCTGTATAAGTGGGCAGTAAGGGTGAAATTTAAGAGGTTTGTACCAGCTATTCAGGGCAGGTGCCATTAATCACATGGTGATTTAAGTAATAATTTGTAATAAAGTGGCGTATAGAATTTTTTATATCAAAAAATCCAAATTAGAATGAAAATGGTACTATTGTTTAGTGTGTATATATATATATATATATATATATATATATTTATATAATTTGATATCTTCTTAATGACTTCCTAAATTATTTAGTTGGAAATGTTTGAACAATAAAGTTGGGAAAAGAAAAGTATCCTTCAACCAACTTGGCCATGTGCACTGATAAGTGGTGTCAGACATTGTGACGATAGATGCTCTATTGAAGGGTAATAGAAAAGACAGACAATTAAAGGTGTAAACCAACCGAGTTGAATAGTAAAAAATTCGAGTTCGAGTTCGATTCATAATTTGGGGTTTGATATTCGGTTCGAACTCGATCGAGTTTTATTTTTTAAGTTCGAGTTTGATTCGTGATTTAATTCGAGCTATTCGAGTTCGCTCGATTAATATATAACAATAAGCTCGATTCATATATTCGAAAAGAGTTCGATTATTCATGTTCGAATTCGAACTCGAACTCAGATTCGAAATATTTTATTAATTAAAATAATAAAAATATATTTAAATATAAAAATTCGATTAGACTCGCGAGCTACTCGAGTCAGATATAAGAATACTCGAATTCGATTCGATCGATAAGTCGAACTACTCGAGCTCGAGCTCGACTCGACAATAATCGAACCGAATTCGAGTTTTTTTCGAATCGAATCGGAGTAACTTGCGAATACTAACATATCATTTACACCCCTACAGACAATCGAGAAAAAAATTCAATAAATTTAAAGTTATAGTGTTTAATTTGTTTTGAATTAATTTTTTTTATTTGGTTTTAAATTAAAATAAATATTATATATTTATATATTAAATTTAAATTAAAAATTAAATTTTAAATTAAAAAAATCGAATTAAATCTAATTCCTACAAGATAAGATATGAGTTATGAAATATAATTATTTTTGCTCTTTTTTAATTATTGTAGATTTAATTATAAAAATTTATGTATTTATATTATATTTTATATAAAAATTACATGTTATAAATTTGTATTATTATGAAAACATGAAATATATATTTTAATTTTGTTAAATCTAAATATAATTATTATTAAGATCTTAAATTATATCATTTTAATATTTTTATATTATATTCGTATTATATTTTAAATTATCAAAACCTAATTTATTACAATAATATACACACTTACTTTTAAAAAAATCTAAATATTTAAACACATACCATAAGGTATTGTGATCGAAATAATACAAGATTAAAAAAAAAAATCATTATTTAAATTATAGCAATATAATAATGCAATTATTTTTATGATTTGGAAAAGAGAATTTAATTTTTTTTATTAAATCAAATTCTCGAATATAATTTTTTTTAAAAAAGTGAATATGCTTTTCCTTCGTTTTGTGTAGTTAATTTGTGGGGCAAACAACAAATCGACCTTTCAGTGCTCAAATTATCTATCAAACCTAAATTACAGTATTCATATAATATATTAATAAAAAATAATTGTATGAAATGAATATTATATTATTTTCATTTAAAATATATTATATAATTATATTATTTAAAAATTGATTATTTTATTACACATCACATATATATAAATTTATTAACATAATTATTTATTATTTATTATTTAATTATTACATTTGATAGGTAATAAATGATTGAGTTTTTTAATAATTTAGTTATATAGCATGGGTTGAATGAAAACGAGGTACATTAATGTAAAATAGCTGTATCTTATATACTACCAAACGAAAGGGAAAAAGAAACTTCAGCCATTAATTATTTCATCAAGGAAAAATGCAAAGAAAATATGCTAGTAATTGAGCGGAAAAAGCCCTACTTTAGTACTTGGAGTCATTACTTCTAAAACAGAAAGAAGCAGCAATATAAAGAGCCACTGACAGACATATTGAGATAACGGTAATTTTGGTGGGCATTTTTCCATTGTCATTCCTCAAGGCAATGGCTCCATAAATTGGCTGGCAATTCACCACAATGAACCCTGTTAACAACATCTGCATACGGAGACCTTCCCCATTTGCTGCCAACCAAAAACTCTGTCAATCCCCATACGAATGAGAATAAGTTGATTATTGCAGCCATAGTTAATGGAACAAACATGGGGGAATGGGACTCCGAACTCAAAATTGCCTTTGCTGTATCTCTTGCTTTGTTCATCATCAAGCACCTTGCTTGTTAGGCTAAAACCATGCGTGGAAATGCCTGAGGACTTGAGAAAGTACTCAACTGAAGCAAACAAGAAACATGACAGTCCCCTTATCATCCACATCCTTTGAGCATTCCACCACCTTTGGACAGTGCCTCCAGCTAGGACAAAGTCAAGGAAATCTTGCCCGTAAGCGCTGAGGAAAAGAAAAACCATGGTTCTGATATCTGCAACACCATTTGCCATTTTTTACTCGATCAATATACTGAATTTAAATAAATATTTCATGATATATACAAATTCATGAATGTTCATACCTTTGGGAAGATGCTAACTTTATTGAGGAGTGCTAGCTGGGGTAGGAAAGAATAGAGGGTAACTGGAATGCACCATATGGGGCAGAATGCATAGTGAGAATAACCTAGGCCCATTAAAAGGCTCATAGAATGAGAACCGAAGATGAGAGTGTTATACTTGGAGAAGGTCACTTCAAAAAGTCCGATGCACCATCTCTTGCATTGATTAATTATATCAAAAAGGGTAATTGGCACATCCCCTAAAAATGCAGCCCTCTCAGGGTGGCAGAACAAGCCCTTCCATCCTTCACACTGAAACCGATATCCTGTGTAAAAGTCCTCAACCAGAGATCCATATCTGAAGCCACACTGCATACATGTCAAAAGAACTCTTAACATACTGCCTATAAATTTTAACCTTCGATAGCATTCTGGAGAGTGATTGATGAGTTTACCTTTGATCCCCATTTGGTTTGGTTCTCATAGTTGCAACCTGCTACATGGTGTGCCAATGACAAAATTTCTTGAGATTTAATGGGCTTTTCTACTACATGGGTTGGGCTGAGTTCTGGGATTTCAGGTGGTAGCAAAGCTGATGGCCCACCAAAGAGAGCTCGCCGGCGAAAGAAGCAGCCGGATCCAACATAATTCGGGCCCTTTAGCCCGTCAAACCCATAGGATTGACTTGGAAGAAACATTTATACTCAGAAGCGTAGATGTCATTTTTGTTAAGGCCATGAAATCGTTGAGGAAATTGAATGTATGCTAATTTTGATTGAATTGCAGGGTCTGATCGATAACATAGCACAAGAAGAGAAGTTTGGGGATCATTTGAGTACATATCACAATCTTGAGTTAAGATTATTGACACATTTATCGTAACAGTTGATACACGTAATTTCAATGTCGAAAATTCAAGGAATTAAAAATTATAATAAATAAAAACTAATCAATTGGATAGCAACCAGAAACAATACTCATACCAGAACACTAAGAGCTCCAGCTTTAAAGTGGTGGGGTGAACTGTTGCTTTTCTGTCTAGAGACATAAATTAAATTTGGCAAACAATGGCCAGAAACGTCTTTGTCTTTGCTCTTATCTAAAATAACCTGCCCATGGTTCATGTCCCATGCATTAGTAAATCGAGTGTAGTTGCAAAAGGCTTGTTTCCTGTACTGAGCAATTTAATTTTTTATTGATCATTGGATTGAATTTTGAGCTTGGAAAATGTTGAATGCATACCTGGACGACAGTGGGGTGATGTATGCGAGTAAACCCTTTGGTCCATTTATTAAAAGCTTGGCGTTGTTGATCGTCTGTAATGTATTCATCACTGATTTCTCCTTTATCAACAATATGTTCTACCTTCACTTTCATAATCTCGTACATCATCTGCAATTAAGATTAGTATCCCAAAAGTGGCAGATGTTACATCCATCACTTCTACAATATAGGCCTCACGAAATAAGCTACTACAATATGGCCGAAATCTATGCTATCTACATGGGGTTAAAATTAGGTAGGAAGCATGGTTGCAGAAAAATTCTAGAATCAGATTCTTTATTAGGCGCACAAAAAATTTTACAAGCTCTGTATGATAACGACCTCTTTTATCAGGTTTTATATGGCTGCAAACGACTCCTTCAGTTAGATTAAGACTGTTTGCTTTTTCATATCTATTGTGAGGTTAATTTCTGAGTGGATTTTTTTTAGAGGCAAATTTAGTTCATAAGAATAACTTTGATGTTATTAAATTATTATTAAATTATTATCTTCTTCGAGGTAAATTAATATAAGATTAAAAATATAAATGATATATTAATATTTATAAATTTTTCGAAGTCAATTAGAATAAAATTTAAATTTGACTCGATTATTATCGAATCGAGTTAGTAGCTCGACTTATCGATTGAGTCGAGTAGCTCGTGAGTCTAATCGATCAAGTAGCTGTGAGCCTAATAAATCTTTTATATTTTAATATATTTTAATTAATAAAATATCTCGAATTTAAATACAAATAATTAAATTTTTATCGAATATAAAAATTAAACTTATTTTTATATGTTAATTGAATCTAATCGAGTGAACTCAAGTAATATAATTTTTATCTCTAGTTGAGTTTAAAATTAAAAAAATAAAACTCGATTGAATTTGAATCAAATTTTAAGTTTTAAAATTTTAATCAATTTTAAATTTAAATTTAATATATACGTTGCAACGAGGGAGCAATTTTCACTCTTTATGCAACCCAAAAAAAAAAAAAAAAAAAACTTCAATAAAAGACATAATTTGGTAAAAATTAGGTTAAATCATCGCACGCAATTATCAGAAAGCACCAAATGCTGATAAAAAAATCAATTTTTTAAAACAATTATGAAAGTATTTTTCTATATTTTTCTATTCATTATTTTTTATTTTTATAATTTAAAATTTAAAATAATTTTTATGATTGAAAGCTAAATTTATTTTTTAAATACATGAAATTTTCAAAAAAAGTACATTGGTTTTTTCAAAAAACATTTTATTAAAAAATTTTTATCTTATTTTCTATTTCTCCTTTTATTTTATTTGTATAAAAGTTTCTTTGTTATTAAAACAAGTACATTGGTTT